CGGAGATCTGTCAAAACAGAAAAACTCACACAACATCTCTTACACTTTTTTGTCACGTGTATAATAGCGTTTTTCACTGGTCGCACTGGTGCGCATTTTTCGAGAGCAGCGTGTTTCATTGGGCTTTTCAGTGCGCACGAAGTCGGTGCGCGCTGTTTCACTGAAAGCTTAATACCGAGGTTTTGCATTTTAGTGCAGAAACTCGGCACGAGCTTTAAGCGACGGTGTCGGTGCAGTGCCGGTGCCGGTGCGCATTCAGTTCCTTCCAGTGAAAAACGCTATAAGAACACGCGACGACACGTTTCGCAGAAGGAAGCCAAGCTGCTCTCCAAACCGGCGACATTGATATAATCCCATAGGATATCATCGCGGATCGTCGCAACATTCGCCTTGAGACTCGCCTGGTTGGCACGTTAATGGATCGATGCATCACAAGGCGCGTTAATGTAACGAGCCGTAGGTCGATAATTATCAAAGAGGGCTTTGACTTCGTGTTTACGAAGGCCTAGGGGCACGGGGGGTCAACGGGGTCGAATATGTATCGGCCGGAGGGCTGCTGATACAACCTGTATATCTGCTTCTCCAATCACTAATTAAATCAAACGGCCGAACGTCTTCGATCGATATGTTATAGCGAGAGATTTCGTCGCGAGTAATTACAGACATGTAGTGGCAGCTGCTGACAAAAGCGGGTCGGCATTGCACCGCTACTACCATTGTTTCGCGGAATTGGGTTACGCGATCGTAACCCGACGAAGCCTGGCAATTTCCTGCTTGTCGTGCCGCGCCGAGATTCGATGACGCCTACGGCAAATTATTTCCTACGGATCTGTCGTCGATTTAGTTAATGATCGCGGTCCGACCGCAATAATGGCAGCATCGGCGATTGGTGACCATCGGCCTGGTCGCCTAACGCCGTACGCGTACCGTGAACGATTTACAATTCGGACTGCGTGCAGTTTAATTACGTCACGCTGCGATACGCGAGATAAAGAAAGTATGTAGTACGGTATAAGAGTTACCGGATCTTAATGAATCTTTTCTCATAAGATTATCGAGGAAGCGATAATTTTTAATGATATAATAATTCAAAATATGAGAAACCTTTGACAAACAAAGAAATCTTGAGAAAAGGAAGTAAACAATGACATCATATTCTTCAATTAATTTCAAATAGATATTAAAATATAGCTTAAATTATTTTCAAATATGTATATATAAAATTGGAAATTAGAAAGATACGATGAACAATATATGATCACGTTCGATATTTGCGCCAAAGAAAAATAATTTTAAAATAAACTAAAAAAGCTTTTCAAAACGATATTCCAGGTAGTTTCTTTTTTTTTTAATAATTTGTATTTTAAAATAATGTTATATATTTTGCAAATTTTGTGATTCAAACCCCACTCCTAAAAGCGCTCGTGTTTAAAATGCTTTAAATAAAATTTACTGTCTGACTGTAAAATCATTTACTGTCATTACTATACTTAATTTTCAATTTTCTAACGTCTCTTACTCCCCTGAATCAGTTTTGATACCTCAAACTTATTGCACGCCTTAGTATATCTGACGTTCTACAAATAATTTCATTGGTTTCCTAATGTATGTAATTCATACTACTAGTGCTACGATACGTTAACAATTACTCGCGCAGTGAATAACATTTAGATATCTGAACGTCTTGCGTTACTCGTCGCATGATGGAAGGAGAAATTGGATGGAAGGCAAATGAGTGAATAGTAAAGCGAGCAACAGATCGTTTGGTGACGTACCGATGAAAAGGGATGATGCTATTAGACTAATTAGAGCGTCTTAAGACTTTTATGAGTTCTCCTCGCTCATCAGCGAAGTTTTAAATACATTTTGAGATGCGTATAAATTTTGAAACGTGCCGTGTAGATTTTAGGATGTACAAATTTTACAAACAATGAGAGAGACCGCGCGATATATTTCTTTTCCATCTCTACTACTCGTATAGATTCTATTTTTTGCGACTAAATGCTTAATTAAAAATTATCTCTACATTGTATATCTGATTTTTTATTCACGGTAAATTTCCATCGTAATTTTTGATATAATTATTAATGCTCAGCGAAACTCTGTCTTGCAACGTTACGGCAATCTGTCTTTAAATTAAATTTTGATCAGGTCGGCAGCCAAATCTCTAGACTTTAGTGCGCTACAAACGCATATTAATCGGGCATAATGAAAGAGTTGATTCGTCGGCGGAGGTCGCCGACACGTTAACTGGTCCAATCATCAATCAGCCCAGTGAAGCTAAATGGTCAGGACAACGGGTTTTAATATCTCCTGAGGAAAATAAAAGTTAGCGCGATAAATCAAAGGTGAAAAGTCGCTGCCTTACTTTCTCTCTCTTTTCCTCTTGCCTCTTTTTTCTCCTTCCTTTCCTTCTCTTATTCTCTCTCTCTCTCTCTCTCTCCCTCCCTCCCTCCCTCCCTCCTTCCCTCTCTCCCTCCCTTCCTTCCTCCCCCTTTCTCTATTTTTCTCTTTCTCTCTCACTTTCTTCTGCCTTCTCGCTTTTTCCTCATTGCGCTCTCAGCTTTAATCTCTTCGCCTTCCATCGGTGACTTGCAAAAATGATAAATGAATTTCATCCACCGCGCGCGTGCCATATTTATATCTATAAAACTGGATGGTAGCGTCATAATAACCACGGTGACGAACGACGACAATTTCTGATGGCAACAATCGCAATTTGTTCGCACTGATATTGAAATATTGATCCTTATGCGTGGAGAAGTTTACGGACGACAATGACAATCGCAAATTCAGTGTCTCGCCATCCAATTTTCGACGATACAAGTTTTATTGATTTACATTCGCACCGCCCGTCTCGCGCGCCCGCACGCGCGCGCGCGCGCGCGTGTGTGTGTGTGTGTGTATGTACGGTGACAAACGCGTCGCGAGATAAAGTTACACGTCGGCATGTCGTTGTTGTAATTTTTGCGGCAAACACTGCCGCCCGAACAAGGGGTAAAACGGGGGTTGAAAGTCATTTGGGTATTATCTTACGGAAAAGACGGCGGCTACATATTTGCATTACGTTCGCGTGTGTAAACACGTCTGCTGAGGCGCATACTTTGTCATCCTATCCTATTTACCTTGGGGAGAACGCACCTCCGCCGCGTGCATAGCGTGCACCTCCCCCTCTACAACCGTGTCGCTTAGTAATCGCTCAGGTGCTTGTGACAAATAGCAATGACCTTTTTCGCTATGGGCAATTCTCCACATCGAGGCTATCAATAGATATTACCTAACTTTTAAAATTATGCCGCAGAACGTAACAAAAAAAAAATAACGACACAGAACGCGGAATAGATAAGCTAATTAATTCTAAGAACTGATATTTCATTAAGAATTAATAAAGTATCAAAAGAAGGGCTTAATATCACAGCACTAAATTCCGTGCAAGGCTCACAAGCCCAGCTTCCTTTGATACTTTATTAATTTTAAATTATATAAGCCATTAGGATAGTTGTTAATTTAATTTAGAATTGCGTTCGTTTTTGAAGATTAAGAGAACATATTCTTCAAATCTACAATCTTGTCTCTTAGTAATTGCTTAGGTGCTTGTGACAAATAGCAATGACCTTTTTCGCTATGGGCAATTCTCCACATCGAGGCTATCAATAGATATTACCTAACTTTTAAAATTATGTCGTAGAACGTAACAAAAAAAAAACGACACAGAACACTGCGGAATAGATAAGTTAATTAATTCTATGAACTGATATTTAATTTAGAATTGCGTTCGTTTTCGTATTGAGAGAACATATTCTTCAAATCTGACTCTTAATCTTTTAGCCCCTATTGCATTATACGTATCTTGAATATACTTGAATTGAAATATATATAATATGTTTTAGCAACTTTATTTTATTTTTTATATTGTGCAAAAATTTAATTAGAAATAAAGAGTTGATGATTGAAAATGTCTATATAGTACAGTAATGCTTACAGTATTGCCTATAGAAAAAAAAACGCATGTAACAGGATAAAAATGCAATTAAAGTAAATTTTCTAGCAGTAGAATACAAATAATTATAACACTGTTACTGCGACACCGATATTTCCTCAGCGATGAGCGCAATAATTATATAACAAAGTCATCAATACTAACCAATTTTAATTAATACCATACCCTGCGACATTTTTAGCAGAGACTTCTGCAGCGTGCAGTCTAGCCACGGACAACTGCAGTCAGTAATAAATCCAGCCGACGACGTGTTCGCTAAAGACAAATGATGAAATTACGAATAATTATTCAGGTATATACCCCTCCGGATAAGTTACGCGTGGAGGCGCGTGCAGGGGTGGAAGGCACGGATGTCGGTAGTATGTACGGTAGGGAGTAAAATATGATGTAGAGTTTGGCCGGCTTGGCCGGCGCTATACGGCGGCTAATACGTTCCGGGAGAGAAGTTAGTAACAGGTGGCGCGAGATCCATAATATCGCGCGGTGTAGTAGAATTTACCCAATCTACGGGAGGACAAAAGTATTTTGTCTGGCTGTGTGTAAATATGTATAGGCGTAACACGTAATTCCACGCGGTCCGTTTTCATTTTAATTCCGTGTTTGTTTCCACGTAATTTCTCGAGTTACCCTAAAAAGTACACGAGGGTTCGAAATAATGCATATTCTCTTGCCTTCCTTAGATAAAAAAAAAATGTAAGCAGTCGCGGGAGCAGGCCGGTAACAATAGGTATGAAAACAAAAAGAAATACGAGCGGTACCATAGATTGAAATCGAGGATGAGGGTTTGAGAGAACGCGTTTCTTTGAAACACTGAAAATAATTGTGTTTTTTTTCTCACGAAAATTGCGAAAAAAAGCATGATGAACGAAGAAAGATCGAGCCTTCTTGTACGATTGGGAAATATGCGAATATTAATGTCGGAGCCCTACGATTAATTTCGTGTGAATTATGCGATGTAGATCCAATTTTTAAGGATGGAAACTTGCTTTGTGTGTTGCAGTGTCTGCACCGCCAAGTACCAGTCCTAGCCCGTCTACAACGGAGGTTCCCAAAAAAGGTAAGATATACTTATTTAGAGATCCCACGCGACGGTTGTTATATAAATTGCAAAACTGATAAATCATTGCGCGTCGCGCTAGAATTACACCAAAATTTGATGCTTCCATATATACCATATACGTACAGCATATATGTATATCATACATACTATATATATCACAATCGATATTATTCACGTCGTATTCGCTAGCTTGAATCTAATTTTCCAACGCGCGTTTACTTTTGCAGATTGGGAATTCATGGCGGAGATGAATAACTCTGTTTACGGAAATCCAAGTTCGCTGACAATTCAAAATGAGAAGAATATCAAGACAGGTGAGTACCCGAAGCGGTATATATCTTCTTTTTACGTAATTTCGAACGTAACCATCATCGTAATTTCGCGAATTATGGGATTGATTCCGCGACTTCGCATTTCAACGAAGTGGTGCCAGTCGTCGGCTGTCACGCGAGCGTAAACGAAGAGTAACAAGCACACTTGAGATATATTTAGAAAGAGTATTCTCGCGGATCTTTATATATCGCTATCCGAAAGGAACACATCAATCATTTAGATCTTTCTTACACGTTAAAAAAAAAAGCGAAAGTAATAAGACAGAGAACAGAATTTATAAATAACGTAATGTCAAAAATGGACAAAAGGAGAAATTTAATTTAAATGGAATATTTTCCACGAATTACGAAGGAATATTAATTTTGGAGGCACATTAAGTGCCACATTAAATGAACGGAATCGATCTGAAATTTTCTGCTGTATTTATATACGTTCGCTATGAGTATCATTATGAAACATCTTGGCGAATATACGAGCGAAGGAAGGAGATTCAAATATTTCAGCTGCAATCTGTATACTCTACACATTAAGTGCCACATTAAATGAACGCAATCGGAAATTTTCTGCTGTATTTATATACCGTTATAAGCATCATTATGAAGCATCTTGGCAAATGTACGAACAAATAAAGGAGATTCAAAAGTTTTAGCTGCAATCTGTATACTTTATACACTAGTAAAATCTCAATCTAGCTAGAGCGGATTTACATATTCAATCTAGCATCACGTATAGTCAAATGCCATCCCATAACTGGATTTTCCAGCAACATACTTTGAATCTCCGGCGCGATTAACTTCGATGTTAACTAGAGCCAGGGGACCCACCAGGGAATCCCGGGAATCGATTGCGGCTTTAAGAGTGGTTTGAAGAAGGGTAAGCAGCTCGCTTTAAAGCTCTCTACAGCGGGCGAAAGAGAACCACGGAAATGAGGTCTATAACAGGATAACAATTGGAATTCTCCGAGAACGGATCTTTCTTTGTATTATACGAAATTATTGAAATGAACGTATAACTGTTTTGACAACACAAATTGTATTATCAAAATAACATATCCTCACTGTTTTATAAATTATTATAAATATTAATGACATAACATTTCCAAAAGAATCGAAACAGCATTCTATAAATTCTATAAAACTGTTAAAATCTGAAGAAAAAAAGATTTCAATTTAATGCATCACGCTACTTTGGAGACCAAGTGTTTACTTAGGAAATCAAAACGTGAAGGTGGCTGTCAAAAAAGTTTAGGTGGAGAGCGAGCGTGGAGAATAAAAAGAATGGAAGAATAAACATAAAGGTAACAGAGAGGCAACTGAAGTGATGTTCGTAACAGGCATACATGAGTGGTGGTTATGTGCAAGAACAGAAAAGATAGATGAATAGATAGAAACGTGAAAGAGAAAGAGAGAGAGAGAGAGAGAGAGAAGAAGAGGGAAAGGGGGAGAGAGAGAGAGAGAGCCGGGAACTAGGGTTGACTGGGGTAGAAGAGATCCGTGTAACATCAATATTTCATGTATGCTAACACGCCGGAACTAATAATGCTCCAGCGAGGAAGACCCAAGAATAATATCAGCCGCCGCTGTGAAGACCGCGTTCTCCGTCCCTATCCACGCCTTTCCCTCCTCACCCTGCCCTCCCCACCCCCTCTATTTCTTTCTTTGTCCTTCGCTTTGCTCTATCACCTAAAACAGCAACGTGCAGCGCCCTAGCGTCCTTTTGCGCCCTGTGTTAAATTTAATCGAAAATTCGTGTCTCGTTGAGCTCTCCGCCGTCTCTACTGTGTCTACCGTGTGTCTCCTCCCTTCCTTTTCTTCTACGTATAACCAATGTCATCGCCCCGGGGGCGGGTTAAGAGACGGCGGAAAGGTGAGAGTGAAAAGATGGTGGGCTGAGGGGGCGAGGTGAGGAAGATGGTTGAATGCGACGGGATGTGGTAAGTTTGAATACGGCATATGTCTCCTTGTCTCTCTTTCTCCTTCTCTCTCTCTCTCTCTCTCTCTCTCTCTCTCTCCTTCTCTATTTGCGGAGGCCGGGAGGAAGGAAAGGACGGGCTGCGAAGGAAGGATGAGGTTTGTAATTGGTGCAACATCTGCGGTCTGCAAGGTGGCATTAATGTTTGCTCCCTTCGTGCTCTCTCGCCCTCATCTCTGTTCCCTCCTCTTCGTTCCCACCCCCTCGATCCCGCCCGGGCTCCGAGAGAATCGCCTTTTTCCCTTATCGCGTTGTTTCTTTTTCTCTTCTCCTTATCCCAGTTACATTTAACCGTGTCTGCTTCCATTTCTCCCGGTTCTTTTAAGCACTTTATTTTTATGTCATCTTCTTTCCTTAACATATCTGTTTGACTTATTCCCTTTTAGTCTGCCAGCGTCTCTTTTTATATCTACCGCGCTACGCTCGTTACGATTCTCTAACAGCTCTCTCTCTCCCGTACGTATTTCGTAGTACATTTTTTCCCAGATAATTTATCTCAGTCCTCGCTATCTCGTCTCTCTCTCTCTCTCTCTCTCTCTTCTCTCTCTCTCCCCGTCTTGTCTTTTTGTAATGCCCTCTTTAAACAATCTAGCGGTCGCCGCCTATTTGCCGCCGTCGCCTCTCGTTATTCGTATCGTTGAAAATTCAAGGGCGCAAGTGTACGCTTAAGATTAAACAGAAGATTTGCTTGAGTTTCCTTCACGCGCGGACGGAAACCCAAGCATAAACAGGCCTTATTTGCTCGTAGTAACTTACGACAATCTGTTGTCGAGAATACCTAAACATAACGCGCGGTGCGTTTTAACTCTTCCCCTAGCATAAGACGGTGTTATTCGTTAAACGAAAAGGCAGTCTTGCTTGCAAAGCACGTCACAATACAAAGCAACAGCGTAAAAATATTTTTATATTTTCCATACATCACAGTTGTATCAATTCGCGCGCGCATAATATTGGAAATAAAAAGATTTTGAGAGCGCGTTTTCCTTTTTTTTAAGGATATCCTAATCTTTCTTTACGCGTGAACATTAACGTGATTGCGACGTGATCGCAGTTTATTAAATACTCGTGTTGCATACCGGTGCTAAGCCGCCGTGTAATTGCCATTGCGGGCGTTTGTCCGTTTACCGTTTTCCCCCTTAAGTCGCATCGCGGCGTATAGTTCGCGAATAGCAAATTGCGTACAGAAGCGACGGTACACGGCGGGCCTACGGCGATAAGTCACTTTGAGGTTTCCGATGGGGAAACCGGGCAAGTATTGTCGCGGTATCGTGACATCTCCCAGAGCACATATGCCCTTAGGTGTCGCTTAATTCCCCGGGGCAGCGTTGTCCGCCTGTAATTCGGGGTGAGCATGTATAGCGATTGGTTTAGCCGCGTGCTTTCGTACGATTAACACGTCCCCTATTCTACTGTACGCGCGTGCACATACAGAGAGAATGAAGGAGCGGAGGCGCGTAACAGCGGCCGCTCTTATTGCGCTTGTGGCTCGGGTCGTGTGAGATATATCGTAATCGCTTCGTCAAATCGCCGAGAAGTCCGAAGATCATTTTATACCATGTTTACTCGCGACGCGATGCCCGCCCGCGATGCGTCGCGTGCGCGCTGACGCTTCCGACGCGAAATTATTTACGACCTGAATTAACATCGTAAAGGCGCATTAATTAGAACGGCGCTCGTGACGCCGCCCGCTCTGTGACAATATTGCGCGCCGCGTGACACGGCCGTATATAAGTTTAGATCTCACAGCGTGCGAGATCTTAGACCTCTGTTAATTTTCTTGGGGCGCAGCCACAGTCGGCCAGCCACCTGGGACGGAAGGAGTATCATTGACTTTGTCGCGTGTACGGTCAACATCCTCCAGACCCCCGCCGTCTGATATCCCAAGGCAAACGTATAACACGCACGCGCCAACACCGAGACCGGTTTGATATTCACGGAATGCAGAATGCAGAACGGGAAACTGAATCCACAATCTCAGCGAAAATAGTTAAACGCGTCTGCGCTGACCTGTCGGACCCGCGCGCGCGAATCGCGCGAACGTGCAGTGAGCAGGAGTATCGCGACCCACCCCGGACGTAAAATCAATGAGGGGTAACTGCGCGAAACGCGTAACTTTTTAGGGGAGACTTATTTGTATCGACAACAGTTTTTTTTTCTGACAGCGGAGTCGCGAGAATCCGGGATTATCAAATCCAAAGGTCGAATCAATTCGTGGGCACGAAGCTTTATCTTCTATTTTTTCTTCTTCTTTTTTTGCCAATTTACGATCTTCCACACGCACGATTCAGTCAGTCTCGAGTGTGAAGGACTAAGTATACTCTCTCGATAAAACACTCTTGTACAATACTGTCGCGATATTCTACTGATACTATCGAAATATTCAGCCATGAGAATCTTATTAGATACATCGGCGCACATACCCCCGGCATTATCTCATTAATAACAAATTAATCCGGATATTGAAATTACGATATACGTATTATTGACAAATTAAGCCCTTAAAAACTACGATTCGTGTTCTTCTCATTTCGAAATATTCGATATCTCAAAATCCACAAGGGGAAAAGATATCAGATAAATGCTATGACATCAGTTTTATATGCGATAAACGAATTTTCAGGTCAGAGTCTCTGAAACTTTTATATTTTTACCTTCTCTTATTGCAACGCGCGGTCGCGCGTCACAGAAAAGCATCGGATTTCCACGCCAGGTTAATAGCTTGCAATGTGTTGATCAACTTCCAAATAATTACGTACGTTCCAGCACATTTATTTTTCACGGGCAATTAATGATGGGGCGAGTATTTTAATTTTTCCGGCCATTTGTAGGGACCAATGCCATCAGACGCAAATTAAGTATAAATTTCATCATTCAATTGATATTTACGTTTTTTAGTTTAACCATGCTCTTTCTCCCCCCCCCCTCTCTCTCTCAATCTAAATCATCTTTCTTTCCTGGAAATTTATTCACGCACAATTTTGTTGCTGCTAACTCTTGCTCGTCGCTGCGCAACGAAATCCTGAACTATTATAGATAACGAAGCTTACACGCTCCCGTGGAGCTTACACGCGTCCATGGCCGCGCGATGAAGGCTATACGTCTGGTTCCCTAAACACGTCGTCGCCCACGCATAGCTACAGAAACAGCCGCGTCGCGATAGAGATTCTCGCATATAGGAAACTATAGAACTGGCCCGGGCGCACGGATATATATATACGTATAGCGCACGTTACACATTGTCACTGCTAATGTTTGGTCGAGATTTGCATACGTCTGTCTAGCCTATCCATTGCGTCGCCGTACAACGGTTGTCTCACCTCGTTGTCCGAGGGTGTATCCGGCGTGGTGGCGGCGGCGGCGGCGGCGGCGGCGGTGGCGGCGGCGGCGGTGGCAGCGGCGGCGGCGACCTTACCCTGTACTACTATCAGCTCGGTACTATACACACGGGCTACGTGAGCGCGCGCGTACGCCGTCATGATCACCCATTACCTTACCCGAAATAGGCTATCGTGCCAAGATCGTGTGCTTTCTCCCCTGCTCTATGTGTCTCACACAACCCTCGCCTTGTCCCTTACCTAAACTGACTGGCACCGCCTCCGGGGCCACGAACTTACAAATCTAATCGCGAGAGAACGAAGACACAAAGCGATATTCACAAGCACCTTTGCTTCGTGGATACCCCAGAATTAAGCCGTAAGTGCAGGTTCTGCCTCTCTGCGGCTTCCGTTACCCGCTGGTTCGCTGCGTTAGCAAAGCTACGTCTACCGGTAGTGGTGCTTTATCTAACTAATTGATGCGCTACCGGCGAGTCTTACGCGCTTTTACGCAGACTTAAAAAAAAGATGATAGAATGCGCATTGATGCGCGATGATCATTACAATCTTGTGATAAATGAGAAACACGCGACATCTGTTCGGAAATATAGATGAACTTGAAAAAATTGTACAACTTCGATAACGATTGTTTATAATTGATAATATAATGCACCATTGCCAGATATTATAATGACATTTTAAATATACACAAGTATAATAAAAAGATATATGATTCGATTTTAAATTAATCTTTAAATTAATCTGTAAATGTAATTTGTTTTTCCAAGAGATAAAGAAAACAATATATATATGAATAAAAAGGTAACAATTTAATAAGCAAGGAGCATCGAAACTTACTGAAGTCATAAAAGGAAGCTTTATCTTTCAAATAATACAATAAACCTTGATAACATATATTTTATATGATTACTGTGTAAAGAAGTAAAAACGTATATTCGAGCAATATATGTCTATTTACTTATGTCATCCTGGTGCGCTTCACACGGCAAGTACACCGGGATAACACGTATACACGATAACACGATAAACCGACACACGTAAGGTCTAGTTGTGTAATTTTATCAAAATATATACTCATCACAAGCTGTTTCGCTGCAAGAATGTAATCCAAAACGCGCGGCGCGGGCTTGTGACAAGCGTGTGTCGTGACACGGATAGAATCTACTTGGCGCGGATAAGGGAATTGTGTTTACTCGGAGTTTGCATACTAGTTAACGCGTTTGCCACCCACTTTATGCGTAACAGGCTCGTAAACATCTTCAGTCGAGAGGGCCACTCGTTGTACGTCCCTTTGTCCGTGGTTCCGCTATGCGAACCACGCAAGTTCTCTCCTTTCGCTCTCCTTCTGTTCTCTCAGATCTCATCTCCTCTGTCCCACCGACGGCTTTGCGCTATAATGTCTCGAAGCGAGATTGAATTTTTAATTTATTCCCATAACGTCCGGGATTCATTCCCATAACATCCGGGAAACAAATTGTCGCCGGTTCGCGGCGGACTTTTCAACGTGGAAGGATATTTTTCTTGGGAATAATCCTTGTATACGTTTCACTTATTATTAACCCCCTCGTCTGGCATCACGTCGATTGTATATATATACACGTAGTGTTTTTTCATAAAAATTCGTTCTCGTGTTTTTCTCCCCAAGGTACCAAGTTCCAGTCGAACCTGAACGAAATCGGAAAATCGGAGCAGAAGTCGTCCGAACTGGACAGAAAAAGAAATTACAACTGGCCTCCCGATAAAGGTGAGTATGACATTAAATTGAATTGAATACGCAGATAAACTTTTTATTTAAATTTTAAAATTTGTAGACGAGAAATTTATAGATTAATATAATCAGGATGTCTGAACAATATGTCGAGAATAGAAAGAGTGCGTTATGTGTGTTTTTCGATAAATACGTTTTTTTTCCCCTCCGTAAGAAACAAAATATTTTACTCTGTGGAATAATTCACCCCGCCAATTGCATTTCCGTTTTTCGCAACATATCTGCTTTTCACGTGGCACCGATATAGAATGGTATTTCGCGTAATACTACGTCAAAAAAATATTCCGTTAATGTCGCTAATGCCGCTAATACATTCGTGTAACGCGGCCGATTAAGCGACGTGTAACGCAATAAAATGTCAGATACCGGACATGCGTTGAACAACAAGCGGGGCTGTCCGTTACTTTATGAGATCCAGCCTCGATGAATTCCCCTCCCCCTCCACTTCTCCCTCCATCCCTCCCTCTCGTCCGTTGCTCTCGTCGCGGAGGGCGAACAAGCCCGTGCACGAGGAGGCAAAACGCGAACGAGTTTTCTCGTCGAAGGTGCGGTTTATCCGGCATTTCGCGGCTCCGCCGTGGCATTTGAGCGGCCGCGTCTACCGCATTTCTGAGCGCGGCCAGGTGTGTAGCACCTTTCATAATTCCGCCGAGCCTTCGGCGTTATCGGATAATTCTTTTCTACCCTCGCATTTTTTCCTCCTTCCACGATTCCGTCTTCACCCCTCCCCTCCACCGTCTCCTCCCCCTCCTCCCGCCCTCTCGCTGTCTCTCTACCGTAATTCGATCCCTGTCCCGGCCTTCCCTCCTTCTGCGCTTCCGCGCGCTACCGTCTCTCAATATCTCGCTCGACCGCGGTTACTTTTAAGAGGAATTTGCATAATGGCGTAGTGTGAAAATCCGTTTTCTCCGCGGGGACGATCGCGATAGTCTCGGAGAAGTAAGGTAATTTCGCATGGAAAAAGCCAGGTTGGAGACCGGTAACGAGGGGAAACCGCGTTGCAAGCTGCCACATGTAAGTGCCGATGGAAAGAATGCCAGAAATATCGGACGTTCTACGGATAATTCTGCAGTGAAATTAACGTCAAATTGCTAAATAGAAACTGTTTGACGAGCGCGGCCGATATGATCGCCGATGAGTTCAATGTCCCCGATGTTATTTCGATGCTGAAAGTGCAAGAAAGATTGTATCTACGTCGCGCGTCACACGTTGATTTTTCATTATGCCGAGTAAACGTGTATATAAACGCTATATACTCTCGTGTCTGGAAAGCGCGTATAAATCTGGAGAACGTATAGCCGGCGAGTTCGAATCTCGAATTACGAATTTAATGAGACGAGACAATTTCCAATTTGCAATTCTCGCGTTTTGCGCGCGCGCAACAATGAAATATAAATATCGACTATATAAATACATAACACATTTCCATCTCGCAATGATGAAGAGGGGGAGAGGAGAGGGAAGGGGGGCAGGGAGAGAGAAAGAGAGCGACGAGAGAGAAGGGTGGGATAGGGCGAGAAATCGCGAATTGAAGGAAGGTAAGATCGCACAAAAGTAGCGAAGCGAAGAATTCTCCCGGGGCAGCGCCAGGGACCGGATAAAAGAAAGGGAGGAAGGAAGGAGGGGAGGAGGGGGTCAGGGAGGCAAGTTACTGCTTGCGAGAGTCTTGGATGCGAGTCGGGAAGACTCTAGAAAGGGCCGCGGAGAACAGAAAAGGGAGGAGGGTGAGGAGGCGTAGGAGAAGGGGGTGGGTGATCCGGCTAGCGGAGGCGACGGCCCACCGGGTTGTTTCTGATTCGTAATTAGAGATGAGTGAGGCCAGGAAAAGGCCGGAGAATGCATTTCTCTCCAAGCGAGTAATAGCTAACGGTACGGTGCAGGCCAACCGGAAGAATAACTGACTTCCCATTTCCCTCCCGCCCCCTCCCTCATCTTTTCTCTCCCTTTTTTCCTTCTCCTCCTCCTCCTCTTCTCTTCCCCCTCGTCTATCCTTATTTCTCCCTTCTGTATCTACTTCGCTTGGGCCGTCGACTAATCGGCACTCACCCCTTTACGCCCGGCTCCGTTTCCTCGGCATATCCTCGCTCGGCGGGAGAGGAATTCTTCCGCGGCAACCCTCCTGCGACGGGGTAACGACAGATTCTCGTCGTCCCAAGCCCTTGATTGTGCATTGACCTCTCGAGACTATCTATGGATCGAGGAACCCTTCCCTTTTTCCCTATAGCATCGCGAGAGCGAACATCCTTCGTGCTATATATTTTCTCGAGATATTAGAAATCTAGTGCAATATATCTGGGGTATAATATTCTAAATGTTAGATTCTGGTATCACATTCTAGAGATTATATTTCAAATATAGCTAATTGTAAGCTATTTGGAAAGAAAATTAAATGATTTATGTACGGAGATTTAATGATGTTAACATCAAAAATTGTGCGGTATTTGTGTGAAAAATGGAACAACAATATTAATATCTAGTCAAATTACGTTATAATGTTCTTATAAATAATAGCTGTATTTGAACTCAGAAATATATATAGCTTCCATAGAAAATCCTCATATTGATCGGCGTGTCAGTCTTAAACAAATATCTTGTCTAATTTCAGATTCAGCAACGGGCGTGATGACGACCGTGACGCTACTACTAATTGCTCTGGCCGTAACGATAATTCGATAAGCAAGAACCCGAAAAAGAAAAAGAAAGCGAACGACGACCTCGTCGTTGATACGCCATCGGTGTTGGCCTCCCTAATTAACGGACTCAATTAAAAAGAAAATAAGAGGAAGAAAAATTAGAACTCAAACAGCACGAAAGACACGACACGCTCACATACAATACACATGTACACACACACACACACACACACACACACACACACACACACACACACACACACAATTACACAAAGTGACACAAAGACTGACTGAAGTAGTTAGCGTCCGTATTAAATGACGGAGAGTAATTTACGCGTGCCAAGTTAGTGTAGCGACGACAGAGTCCACGAGTGGCCAAGAATTGAAGAAGCACGAATCCTCACCGATCTCCCCGCCTTCACCGATTGTGGGTTGTGTGACCTCCCCGCGGACGAGGGATGGCATACGCACCGTGAGGTAGTGGAACAACGGGAACGAGAGGAAAAGGGTATTAAACGAAGTGCAACGACTATCGCTTTCAGTGTAATATATTGTATAACGCCGTAACAATGACGCCAAAAAAAACCAACAAATGCAACAGTGATCTCGTCTCCGCGAGAGAGAGAGAGAGAGAGAGAGAGAGAGAGAGAGAAAGAGAGAGAGAGAGAGAGTGCAATCCGGAACGTGTGTGTGTGTGTGTGTGAGTGAGTCATTACGTTTTTTAAAACTACATTACTACGAGAGTATTTTAGTCGCGCAACTAACTGACATTTCCGGAATATCAAAACGAAATCGTTCGAGCTTAAATACTGAATTAAAGTTTCACCGAGCCAACTAGTTTTCCAACATTTTTAAACTTACGTCCCCCTTCCCGAAATAGTTTTTCTTCCCTCGTACGTACGTCCGATCGATGCGTATGAGGGTTCTCAATTTCGTCAACAACGTGAAAATAGTTTGCGCTCGGAGATTCGTCACGATCGGTGTGTACGTGTCTCGGGGTGAATCGTGGGTGTTAGTCGCCCCTCGAGCAAAATTGATTCTCCAGTCGACATCCGAATCAATCCATCCGCATATACGTAGTCACGGCTCGACTCTATGTGTCTCTTAAGCATCAGCCATTTCTTTACCTCTTCTTCTATTTTTTTTTTTTTTTTTTAATAATTTGGATGTGTATGTAAAAACGTAGATGTAAAAGAAAGGTGCGTGTATTATCTCCAGCATCGATTCCACTTTCTTTACTCCGCGGCGAACTTCCCCGTTCTCCGGGCCAAGTACATTTTAAATTCTCCAATTCTTTCCACCTCCTATCCTTACCTCTTTACGTACGAAATCATGGATCCCATCTGGATACTTGAGATTAAAACGTCAGATTCGGTACGGGGGAGTTGCTCTCATCTAGAGAGGCAGTCGAAGAAAGTACGAACGGCATGGGGTAGAAGGAGGAGCAGGGGGAGGAGGGGCGGAGGGAGGGAGAAGAAAATGTAAAATTTGCGGGGCAGAGAAAGAAGCGGGGATATATCGTAGCAAGAAGTCGAATACTATTAGTTGCAAACGAATCAATCCGACACTGCTCCGGTATTCTCCGCAGAGAGAGTGCCACAATCCTCTCCTTTCACATTATATACAGGCACGCGTATCCCTCTCTTATTTAATTATTATTCCGATCACTCGCTGTGCGCGCAATCATACAGGACCTCTGCAGAGGTGGAAAGTTATTTGTATTTATTTTCTTCATTATACTCGTAATGTACCTCGAAATAATTTAGCTCTTTTGCATGTCGAGGCATGTCGTCATCGTATAGAAAATATTTATCGAATGTGCCGAAAATACCTACTACCTTACTGCCTGTGAATTAATAAATAATTCTAAATCTCGATAAACTTTTGTAAAATCCATTTTCTCTCGGAATTTAGGGCGCGTGTAGATCAAATTATATGTACATTTATTTATGCAATTGCAAAGGAGAGAGAAAGAGAGAGGAAATTTTTGTATTTTACTACATGTCTATTATACATTGTCTTGTCGGGGAGCATGTCCGCGGTACGAAGAAAACAATTTATTTTTTACGTAAGCGCGATTTGCGTTTCTTGCTTCTAACGTCAGTGACAATCAGAAGCCTTTTAAGCATATCATTGAAATGTCTTTTATTATCTGCTATCTTTCATTATGCATTAACGATAAGCGTTTTAAAGCAGAAAGAAATGCGCGCGCTCCAAGAAGTAACTTTCCATACGCGACGCAGATTCGCGCGCATTGACGCGATGCCATAAATCGCGAAACGTCGAAATGTGTATTCGTTTTGTAATCAGACTCGTGAATTCGGCGCCAAAAATTTTCCGGCTGAATGTCCACTCGACAGAAATCGGCGGGAAATAATTGCAAGGTAAATTATATATTTGCTGAAAATATCGGGCCCGTTTCACGCGTCCGTGTTGCGTCGCGCGATCGATTTATTTACGTGTTAATTGATCAAATTGGGATTTATTCGTAGGCGGTCGCGAGAGAGAAAGAAAGAGAGAGAGAGAGACCGGGCTCTCGGCCGTGCCGGGTTTTAAGCGGACTTCTAACTACTTAGGAATATCCATTATTCAGCGTACATCTTGTTTAAAGCAACAGGTTCGAGAGAGTCCCTGCACTCGGCGCGCAAAGGAGTTAATGCCCGCCATGGATTAAAGAAGGGAACGGGTCGACTTAGGGATTACGCGGACTTACTCTGATGAGGTCTGTAATCGTATCATTCGCGAGACTAGCGATCTTAAAAGTCATAAGCATTTAACATGAGGGAAAATCACGCGCCTTTGGAAGCATCGCAGCGTTTGCAATCTGTAGAGATTACTGCGACGAATTCAAATCCCAATCTGGTCAACGCTATACGAACGATTGTTTCTCAACTTGTCGATTAAAATGTATTTGTTGCGTGCATTTACGCACGAACGATTAGCCCATATTTCTCATTAAAACACATTTGTTATACAGATGCATTATAAACAGTTTCTGTTTGGTAAAAGTAAAATTGTGAAAAAATCTAGAAAAAAAAGCAATTAAACACAATAAATTGCAAGGCAATATCTATATAGATTGCACTCGGCGTTACGTCGATAGTGCTTAAATGAATTTTTAGACCAATAAGGTACCAGCGAAAAAATTTGAATAGTGGGATAATTTGGATAATAGTAAGCATTTCAGAAAAATAAGAGATTTTAAGATACATTTCATTATATAAATGTCTGATACAATGAAATGTATCTTAAAATCTCTTTTTTTTTTAAATTCTTGCAAATACTTACTATTATCCAAATTACCCCTCTATTCAAATTACCCCGCTGTACCCTACTGTTATTCGTCATTAAAATGATATATAAATGTTCAAAATTTATCTTAATATTAATTATGTTATTGACTTTTCTTATCATATAGTCCAATGTAATTATATAAAGTTCTATTTATTAATTTTATATAATTTTGAAAGAGGGAGAGGATAAATGCGAACGCAAAGATGATTGAACTCGCGTCTGTTATCTTGAATGACAGTGAATCTTTATTTGACGGAACTAATAGGCACGATTGATTAAATAACGCTTAAAAATTTTATTGTGTAATGGATTTAATTAGTTAATATAAGCGCACTGTACTTTGTAGTCTTGTGTAAAACACAAGAATTCAGATAAATCATTTTAATAGTAGTAGTTTCTCGAGTAGTTTCATCCATTAAAAATTCAGGACTAAGCAAAAAAAATATACTTTTTCGGGCTTTGTTTAAAAACTCTAAAGCTGTTGCCTATTAAAAATCACTGCCCACAATTCAAGTAGAACCCATATTGCACTTGTACGTGTTTGTGTGTGTATATGCGTGTATGTAATTGCATGTGAAATTGTACGTGAAATGACTGTGACTTCTGGTCTGTAACACCCGTGTGTAATGCCATTTTCCGTTAGCGTCGTAGTTTGCAATAGAGTTCTCTCATTTTCAATTCCTTTAAATCTTAACTTAGAACTCCATGAATTTAAGAATAAAAAAAAAGACCGCTATCGGACTCACGAATCACACGCGCGGAATCGATGAAATTGAGAGATTGTGAATTAGAGTCGAAGGTAAAAAAAAAGAAGGAGGAAATAATAGAAAGTTAAAGAACGAAAAGAAATAGTTGGAAAGTTACCTCTAAAAAACTCTTGCTATAATCAAAGGATTTTAATGAAATTTGTGAACGGCTAAGGGAAAATGGTGACACGGATTAATCGAATTATCGGTCTAAGGATGCTCGAACGTTATTGACTCGTCATTGGCGAACCCTGTAAATAGAAGTACACCAGTGATAAGAAATTGCACGTAGAGTAAGCTTCGCAGCCGAGCGATGATAGTGTACGGCGTGTCTCACATACACCGGCATCATTAATCCGTTTTTCCGTTTCGCGAATTTCCGCCCTTTAAGTTCTTTCGTACTTTCGCCGTCGTTTCTCACGCGCGGAGAAACGCAGCAAGAAGGGTATAAATCTTAGCAAGAAATATTTTGACCGTAGCCTCTAAAAGTAATAAAAGTGCGAATCGACGTGGAAAAGAAGAAAAAAAAATAAAGAGAAAGAAATTCGCCGTCTTAGCGTTGTAAGTGCGTGATGAGACGTAATTAAACGCGAAGGTATATATGTATACATAACGCAAATTATAAATATGAAAATACAAATATATAAATATAAATATACGAATTACGGGGGACTGTATTGGGTATACATATATAAATATATATATGTTATATAATATATATATTATTATAATATTTATGCTTTGCGACGTTGATTTGAATGTTGTTATTTACAAGAAAACCAAAAGAAACGAGACATTCTTATGAATACGCTCGTCGTATGTAATAAAAGAAGGGTTACGTAAGAACTCTATGAATCGCGATTATCTTCTTCATCCAGCGACCCTCCCTTCCTCATCTTCGATTTTTAATAGATCTTTTCTCTCCATATTGACGTAAGTAGAGGACTAAATATCTCTTTTTTTTTAATTTATCTTTCATTTGTCCAACATGACACGATAAAATAAGATAACTAAATATA